TTTCTTCGGTGTGGATAGATATTATGCTATCACAGACAGCATTGTACTTCAAGATTCATGTTGAAATGTACTCTTGACGATTATTGCCATGCCATTTCTCTTGAATCTGTCATTCCCTGACTATAAAACATATGCTTTTCTTATTCAAAATGGCCAATCCCAGTCCGTTTTAGCTCACTGACACTTAGCATGTTGCCATCTCTGTCAAATGAAATGTATTCCATTTCATCTTGGACAGCTTCCAATTTTCCTGGATTCATACTTTGCACCTTCCAAGTTCTGGTTCTTCAATCGATGGTAGCAGTTCTTACCATTGCACATGCAGGTCTGGAAGGCATTCCTCCAGTAAGTTTACTCCCCTCCCATCACTGTGGTGGACTCCACTTTGAGGAGGCAGCTCTTCCTCAGTCATACTTTGAGTGCCTTCTGACTGAGGGGCTCATCTTCTGGCACTGCGCTGACAATGCTCGGCTTCTATTCACGAAGTTTTCAGTATTGACAATGTTTTGATGCTATCAATCAGGGTTTCAGGGGCTAATTCCTCTGAAGTGGAAACTGACTCCTTCTTCATAGTCTGTGCTCAGTCTGGAATCTCTGCTGAACCTATTTCCTCTAGGCGACCCTGCCGGTATTTGAAATACCAGTGACATAGCTTTCAACGTCACAGCAACACACAAATCACCACAGTATGGACAAACTGACAGGCAAGTAGTGTTAGCTTCAAATACTCATGAGTCATAAGCTGACTGTCTTGGTTTGAGGGCCCTGACCCATCTTGTACACTTCTCTAATCCGCAGTAGTATACATATGCCAAACATAGTCCCTTTTCCACTTCTGTAGTCCTGTCTGCAACTGTAATTAATTCATCTTCCACCAATCATCATGTTGTAATAGTTTCCTTTATTTTTAATGTCTTATTTAAGTAGACTCATGATTGAGAATCCTTGAACCATATGGCCTTGTCATAGTTTCCCTTATCTGGATGATTAGCCTTTGTCTTGTCTTTGTCCTGTTTGCCTTAAAAGATCGATCTACATTATTATATTTTAATTTGAGATATCTTTGCACCTGAGAATACATTTTAAGTCAGAGTCATGCAATAATTCCAGAAGGCTTCTGATTTTGCACTACCTTATCTAGGTCACTTGTGCCACAACATTATTAAAGATGGTGAATTGTACTGCTGGGACTGGGGATGTTATTCCCCAGCCAACATTAAAAGGCAGGGATTATACCTCATCCTAAGAATATCCAGACATGTGAAAAAATTCCACAGAAGCAAAAGTTCCTAGGAGAAGGGTTTGGAGAGGGAGGTAAAGCAGCCTGTGCCACACGCAACCCTATCTCCCTGGACAGAAAGGGCTGCTAAAGTCTCAGAGATTTGGGGGAGGAAGGGTTATTTGTTGATTCATTACATAGGTAGGGATACCCAGGAAAATAGCCTTTTTGGGCGGAGTCATGTTGATTAGGGGTGTAAGCAACAGCCCCTCCAAGATGGAGTCTGTTCTGGGGGGTCTGCTACTGGTGAGCAGACTCTATTCTGCAATGTCATGCGGGTAGGGTTGGGTCAGGTCATCAGTCCACGTCCCTGAAGATCATGGTGGCGGAATGATAGCCTCTATGCATGCTTGGCTACTCGGACAGTTGGATCAACTCATTTTGTCTTGAAGTCATTCGAACAGGAATAGCATGATTGTCACTATTTGTTTGGACTGTGGCTGACTTCCTTACTTAAGTAAATTATCCAGAGGCCATTTCACAGGAAACGCTGCAGACCATAATGTATATCACAAATGCCATCGTTTTCATAAGGGTACCTGAATTCTTTCAGATCTGATTGCACTGGGGAAAGGAGCTTGTCCAGAAGAGTGGGGGTTTGATCAGTTAGGTTAGCCTGTCTCAATGTCAACAAAAAGAGGTTTCCAAGTGGTAAAACATAGTGTCTAGGAACTTATTTGTTTCCTGAATATATCATACTTGAATTTTAGGACGTCGGTCATGTTTTCAATAAAGCCAAATATGAAATTAGATCAAAATCACAAGGAGGAGCCAGCTAGTTTTGTTAACCTGTTCACTGATTCTCCTTCGAGTTTTGTGCTTTTCCCTTCCAATCTTATCTAAGGACATAAGAAAAACTCCTGGGCATTGTTATGAATTTGTGTGCACACGAAGGATGAAGCACCGACAGTTCCCAGATTACTAACTAGTTCCATTCAGAAATCTGTCAAATTTGTACATCAATTATAACAGACACAGCTCTTATCTAATGTCAATTAATCAAATATATCATGGGAGAGGGTTTTAAGAAGTTCTAGGGGAAAAAAAGAAGTTCTAGAAATATGGAGTTAAAATGAAATTTTCCCATGAACTTTTGGAAGTCTCCATCCTCATATACAATGTACCTTTCTGTGCATTAAGAAACATTAAACATGGGAGCCGATGACAAGGATCTACATATAACCTCCTCCCCGGGGGACGGACAACAGAAAAGTGGTGAATGGAGTGGGTAAGATATGACAAAATAATAATTTATAGATTATCAAGCATTCATAAGGGAGGGGGAAGTGGGGAGGGAGGGGAAAAATGAGGAGCTGAGGCCAGGGGCTCAAGCAGAAAGCAAATGTTTTGAGAATGATGATGGCAACAAATGTACAAACATGCTTGACACAATGGCTGTATGTGTGGATTGTGAAAAGAGTTGTACGAGCCCCCAATCAAATGATTTAAAAAAAAGAAACATTAAACAAACATTTCCTGGTGTGCTATAGCACTGATGAACCACATAACTATCTTTTAGTTCTTTTATATTTCCTCTCAGTATTATGATTTGTATTTGTTTTACCTCCTTAATCAGATTGGCATATGTTCACTTGTATATTTAAAATCGTTCAGTACATGATAGCCAAGATCGATAACCCTTCAGAAACAGTAAGGGGGATAATGGTTTTTTGAGGGTAAGGGTAAGGGTAAGGTGGGGGAGAAAGGGCAATCGACCACAATGATCGACATATAACCCCCTCCCATGGGGATGTACAACAGAAAAGTGGGTGAAGGGAGACAGCGGTCAGTGTAAGACATGGAAAAATAAAGATAATTTATAAATTATCAATGGCTTATGAGGGAGGGAGGGTGAGAGTGGGGGGAAATGAGCTGATACCAAGGGCTCAGTGGAAAGAAAATGTTTTGAGAATGATGATGGCAACAATTGTACAAATGTGCTTGACACAATGGATGGATGCATGGATTGTGAAAAGAACTGTAAGAGCCCCAATAAAATGATTTTTGTTTTTTTTTTAAAAAGGCATAATGATTCTCTGAGGGTACGGGAAGAGGGCTGGGGAGAAGGGGGGATAGGGAGCTGATAGCATTGATGACTGTATAACCCCACATCGATGGGATTGAACAAGAGAATTGTATGTGAGTGTGTGTACTGGATCATGTAAAATATGGCACAATAAAAATCTATTATAGGAAAAAATAATTAGGGTTCCTGAGGGGTAGGATGGGGAGGGAGGGGAGCTGATAGCAAGGAGTTCAAGAAGAAAGAAAATGTTCTGAAACTGATTGTGATAGCAATTGTACAATACTGCTTGATGTGATTAAACTATGGAATGGTATGACATCTGTAAGAGCTCTCAATAAAATGATGAAAAATTGTACAAAGGTACTCAATAAAAGCGTCTTTTATAAAAAAATGAAAGAAAAAACCCAACATTTCCTAATACACTCAGGCAATTTTAATACAATAACAATAATGTTTTGATGCGTATCAGAAAGTAGCACCACCACTGCAAAACTGTGAGCATCTTGGTTTTTTAATTAGAGGCTCTGAGGGGACGTCGCAGGTACTTTACCTAGTGATTGCTTAAAGTGAAACCTCGAGTCCTTCTATCCTAGCGCACTCTTCACCCAACAGCTCTCAGAGAACTTTGGGGCTCTGCCTCACCAGAAGCAGTCTGCACATGGGGACCACCCTGCCATGGACAAGTAGGACAGGCTCACACTGACCCTGGGGACAGAGTAGAACTGCCTCTTTGGGGTCCAGAGGCTGTAACTCTTTTAAAGGAATAGAAAGTACAGTCTTCCTCTCGCAGAGCGGCTGGTGGTTTCAAACTGCTGACCTTGCAGTTAGCAACTCAACAGGCAACCCCTACCCCTCCAGGGCTAATTTTGGAAGTAATAAAGGGAGGCCTAACGTGAGATGGCAGGCTGGAAGGGACAAGGAGCGTGTGCAGACTGAATGGGGGGGCCATAGCAGTGGAAGCAACACAGAAAAAGAAAGGATTGTCTGGAATGAGAATGCCAAGAAAGGGGAGGTATTTGCCCAAGGATGTTCAGCATTTTCAATTGCCGGGTGGGAACTAGAAACTGAGCCTAAATCTCCTAATCTGAGTCCTAGAATAATCTGCTAGTTGGGCCGGGTCGGTATTTGGAGACACAGGAAGGTCTAAATCAGGCCCCATGGATGGATGGCTCAGCCGCAGGCTGATAGGGCCAAGGGAGCGGGTTCCAATCATTCCTGGTAATAATACTGAAAGCGAGACCAAAGTTTTCCACAATTTCCGTTTGGAGGCAGCATTGGCAACGCCCCCCAAGTGTTCGGGGCTTTCAGAACCTCCAGGAATATCGGAGATTACTGGCGAGTAGACCGGGAGCAGCCGAACTCAGGCGAGTGGATTCGGGAATTTCCGGAACTCCTCGAGGCACATTCGGGTTCTCGCGGCTCTTTGCGGATCTATTCAGCGGCCTTCGGGCTCCTGGCTTTTCATCCTAAGGGCGTTGAGAACTCGACCGTTCCTCGGCAATTTCCGGAAGTGCTCGGGGTGGGCCCGAGAGTGGAGCCCTCTGCTGGTGGGAACTGTCAGTTACGTCGGGCTACGCTACAGAAGGTGGGCCAACACGCGCAGACGCAGTTACAACCCAGTGGCCGTTCAGACCGGATGTGGTTGCCGCTGAAGTCAGTTCCGGCGGGTGACGGTGCGGACCGGTCAGAAGCGTAGAGGCGGCGGCAAAATGGCGGCGCCTGAGGAGCGGGATCTAACCCAGGAGCAGACAGAAAAGCTGCTACAGTTTCAGGTAGCAGCGAGTGCTCGGTGCGGCCGATGCCGCTTCGGGATGGGGATGGGCCTCTAGGAGAGCCAGAAATCCTCTGCAGATTAGGCCCGGGGTCCTTCTGAAGCCAGCGGGCAGCCCCCTCCCCCCCAGGCGCCAATTGCCCCGCTTCTCCCGGAGCCCGATCCTCTGTCTGTTGCCGGCCTTCTAGCCATCGCTGAGGCAGACCTGCCTCTCCGCTGCCCCTCTACCCTCAGAGGAGCAGCTTCCCTAGCTCCCCTCAGCGGCGCCTGCCAACCCTCCTTCCGTGCCCGGCTACCGGTCGGGACCCTCTCGCCCAACTCCTACTATGTGGTGCCAACCGAGACGCTCGATCCCCGCCGCAGAGTTGGCTTCAGTTGTGGTCTCCGACAGCGCCCTGCCTGCGTCCCGGGTCATGTCCACAGACATGGACTGATGCGCTCGAGATCTGTCTTGCACGCTCTGGTGGGAGCGGGAGGCCCCTCAAGACAGGTCCCCCGTCCTGGAGGTATGGGCGGACACCACCCAAGGGCACGAAACAAGTAGCCTCAGTGGGCTCAGGTCGAGCGCCTCGCGCGGGCCTTACCCCCAGCCTCTGCGGGGTGCCGCCTTGCACTGGAAGCGGGGTTAAGAGCATTAGACCCCAGGCACGGATCTCAGCGCGGGTTGGAAGAGGCCATGAGGGTGGGTAGCCTATGCTGTCTTGGGCCCTGATGGCTACCCCGTTCTTTCTTTCTGAGTGTACATCTTAAGGATGTCTATCTCCTAAGGAGGTTGGGGAGCTCAGAGCTGGTGGATGTAGAAGGTCTCTTATAAACTGTGCAGTGCTCCCAGACGTTCATCCTAGTCTAGAATTCAAGTTAATGGTATGCTTCTTTCCTCTCGTGAAATATGCTGAGTACTCATTCATTCAACAGTGTTTATCAAGCTTCTCAGCGCCCAGGCACTGCTGAGTAGAGCACTGTTTATTATTCAAGGTGACTAGCAGCACTCTGTTAAATACTTTTCAGACCTCATTTAATACAACAACCGTTTGAGGTTGATGCTGTTACAGCCCCTGCTTTACAGGAAAAGGATCTGCTTAGTTACACGACTAGGAAGTGGTGGTACCAGGTTAAAAACCAGGTCCATCTTTCAGAATCTTACCTGGGCTCTTGACTTTATGCTGTCAGACTTACACAAGTGTCCACGGAGAGCCAAGAGAATAGGATGCAAATGCTGTTGTATTGTCTGTGTAAGTGTGGGTGAGTGGGTGTACAGGCTCTTATTTTTCTCGAATTTCTTTGAGTAGATTTCTTTATGATTCCTTTCGAAGGTTCAGTGAGGCTCCCTCCCCTCTTTAATTCAGCTACAGAGTAAATGTGCAAAAGGACAAGTTACTTACATAGATGGTGTCAGCAGCTTTCAAGTTGGCCCTTGCCTTAGGCAAACCCATGCACAACAGAACAAAACTATACCTGATCTTGTACTGTCCCCATGATCAGTTGGGAACTGGACTTCTGTGAGATCCATGAGGTTTTCATTGACTGGTTTGAAAAAGTAGATCACCAGCCTTTCTTTTTTTTATTTTTTTTGATCACCAGCCTTTCATCCGAGTTTGTTTACATCTGGATGCACTACTGAAACATATTCAGCAGTATAGCAACATGCAAAGTCTCCACCAAGGGACTGGATGAGAGGTGGCTGTGCGTGAGATGCACTAGTTGAAAATCAAGCCAGGGAGAGGGGAAAAATGAGCTGATACCAAGGGCTCAAGTAGGAAATGTTTTGAGAATGATGATATGGCAACAAATATACAAATATGCTTGACACGATGGATGTATGGATTGTGATACGAGTTGTACAAGCCCCCAATAAACTGAGTTTTAAAAATAATAAAAATAAAAATTAAACATCAAACCAAATCTCTGCCATGGAAAACAAGCATCCCTCCATGGAGCCACTACAGCATTGTTCACAGACTAGTTCAGATTAGGGTAATTTGGACTAGAGAGGAGCCCTGGGGGCACAATGGTTAAGCATTGGGCTGCTCACCCCAAAGTCAGCGGTTTGAGCCCACCAGTAACTCCATGGAAGAAAGATGTAGCAGTCAGCTTCTGTAAAGATTTACAGCTGGGGGGTGGGGGAAAAAAAAAAAAAGATTTACAGCCTTGGAAACCATAGGGGGCAGTGCTGCTTGGCCCCATAGGATCACTTCTTGAGTCTAGAAATTTTTGACCTAGCAAATTAGAATCAAAGAATGTATAAACATTGGACGCTCAACTTCCCTTTTGGTAGATCACTAATTTCAGAGTTTGGTTTAGCTGTGACAGACTCCTATACCCCTTCTAGTGTTTCTGGCTAAAGTGTGTGTGTAGATGTTGTATGTAAATCATGATCTCAATCTGACTGGAAGTGAGCATGTGGTCTAGATAGTGTAGTATTTCTGAGCTACGAAGTGCATTAAGAATCTGTTTTGTTATCGAGTGCATCTAAATCTGGAAGAGAGCTGGGTAACAGGTTAAAGTTATGTTGAGATTTCTTGATGAAATTTGTTTTTTATATTTATATGAAGGGGCTTTGAAAGTTCATTGAAAAATGGAATTAAAATATAGGATTTTCCCACACTTTTTGAAGCCCCGTTGTATGTATTCTTTAAGCAATCTCTGAGTCAGATTCGTCATCCAGGTTATCATTAAACATATTTTGAAAGTTACTTGGTGTCAAGAATTATGCCAGATAACTTATATAATTGACTCTTCTCAATTGCTTTATAAAATGTTAACTACTGATCATTTTATTAATAAGGAAACTGAATTTCTAAAAGTGAAGGAAAAAAACTGGCAGAGATTTGAAAATTTCATAAATAAGTTTCCACCAAGATATTAGTGTTCTTGGTATAATATGGTATAAACAAAGTACTGTGAGGAGGAGAGAAGAAGAATGACTTAGTTACCATTTATCCTCAAGGAGATTGGTTCAAAATACAGCAACAGGGTCCAGGCCAGTATTTGCTTCAGTTGCACTTAAGGTTGTGGTGAGTTAAACCTGCTAGGCTGCATCTAATAGCAACGGCATTCCTTAGGCATGGTGCTAGATAATTGTAAACAATGCATTTACCTCACAGTAGCCTTGTAGAGCACAATATGCTTATTTGTTCATGAGGAAACAGATCCATTGAAGTATTTGCTCAAGGTGGTCTCTAAACTATTCAGTAGTCAGATGGGATTCGAATTTTAATGGGTCTGGAGTGGGATTTCTTAGCCAGACTCTACCTAATAAAAAGGATGAATACAGTTTCAACAAGTGGTGTCTAGGGTGTCCAAAGCTAACCCATACAAACTCAGAAGGTGGAATATGTCTATTGTGAGGGGTCTTGAGAATTAGGCATAGAAAATAAGATTGGAAACTTTAAATTAGAGCCAAATTTTAGGGGCCTTTCAAAGTTATGCACAGTGGTTTAAATTTTATTCTGTGGGCGTGGAGAACCATCTAAGGTTTTTTCAAAAAGGTTGTGACACAATCCTAGGTTTCAGGTTTGCTTCATTCACAGTAGGGAGGATGTTTGGTATCTGTACAGAGGTCGGGACAAAACAAGGTGACACTTGCCAGGAACAGGTTTTTGATGTGTTGCCTAATTTGATATATTGAAATTGATACAAATAAAATATTTTTGAAGTCTTAGGTTTTCTCTGTTTCGCTCTTTGTGTGATACATGAGTTGATTAGTGGTATTTTCTAGGACCTATTTATCATGCTTCTCAGTCCATTGATGTCTTCCAAGATTTTTCTCTGGTTAGCCCTTCTGTTTATTTTGGAACTAATTGAGTATGAATAAATAACGCAGACCTTTAAGCCATTTCAAGTGGAAAAGAATAGAAACTTAGATTTCAGAGCTTCTGCAGGTATATGGAGGTTACTTTCTGGCTGATTTAAGGTCAGAATACATCCCCCCCCCCCATTTAAAATAGGAGACTCCTTTAGTGCGACTGTAGCCTCGGCATTGCTGTTTGAACACCTGGAGAAAGATGACCTGGACTGAGAGAGAAGGGATTAAAAGCATGACCATTTGAGGGCAAAAAGATACTTTCTCTGCGTAGAGAAGAGTAAGAATTATCCTTTTCAGTGGCTATCCTGTGTACATCTTGTTTTTTTTTTTAAATGCGAATTTAACCCTGCACAAGAGGTTATAAAATTTAAGTTTATAGCTCACTTTGAAATTTTTCCTTTTGGCTCCCTCTGACTTTTTATTACTTATAAAGTTGTTTGGGGGTGGGGATACATGGTGCTGTGTGGCCTTTTTCTTTTAATCACAGTGAACTGTTTGAGAGTTTTGCCAGGGAAATTGGTATTATGGAGAAAACATGAAATTTGAAATTCTAGGCCAGTGGTTCTCAACCTTCCTAATGCTGTGACACCCTTTGATACATTTCCTCCTATTTTCATTGCTACTTCATAACTATAATTTTGCTACTGTTATGCATCGGGCGACCCCTGTGAAAGGGTCCTTCGATACCCCGCCCCCCCCAAAGGGGTGACTACCCACAGGTTGAGAAACACTGTTTAGGAAAACCTGAATTAACCTAGTTTTGGGTGAGTTCTGAAACCTTAGACAATGTTTCACTTTTTTTAAGCTTCTTTCCTAATAGATAATATTAGTTATTATATAATTAATTGACACCATTCTTTTGAACAAAAAGCCTACCAAGTAATGCTCACTTGCTGCAATTTGTTGCAACATAATATTGTATAAAAATAGCCAAATCTCAACATACTTCCCTCATCCAAACCCCAGGTTTGTTGTGTATCCTTTGTACACGTCTTTCTTCTGCATATACAGATTTACACGCACTTCGGGGAGACATTCTCTTTCACCTTCTTTTAACTTGACTATGACAGCAGATCCTTTCCACAGCCAAGATCTACTGTGCCCAAATGCTACGGTTCCCACCAAGTCAATCATACCCTGGAAAAGAGTCAGTTGTTTTTGTCTACAAGCTGGTGTGTGCCATTTATCTGTGTCAC